TACGGGGCACCCCCCCTAGGGCATCCCATCCCCAAAACATCCCACTCCTTGCACATCGTATTCCTTGCACATCGTAGCTGTGTGTCCCTAAGCCATCCGATGCTTTCTCCTCCCCTATACATCAGGGAGAGCCTTTGGCTTAGAGAATGACCAATGCAATCTTTCCTGTGGACTCATTCCCTAAGATTCACACCTCACAGACTCATTCCTGTAAGGTGTTGCTGTTGGGTATTGAATTGTATTGAATGAACTTTATCTGTATCATTGCGGTTTGTCTTCTCCCGTTTTTCGACGACAATCTCGACACTCGCTGGACTTCCTGGGTCTTTGTTGACCGTTGGACTTCCTGGGTCTTTGTTGACCGTTGGACTTCCTGGGTCTTTGTTGACCGTTGGATTCCAATTCGCTGTCAGAGCCTGAAGAAGAAGATGACGACGATTCTCCGAAGTCCCGTCTCTTCTCATGGATACAGCAACCTAAATGTCTGGTTGATTGGGAGTTCTGGTTTGGGGGGAGGGAGGTGTAGTTCTGGTCTAGGGGGAGGGGGAGGTGTAGTTCGGGGGAGGGAGGTGTAGTTCTGGTCTAGGGGGAGGGGGGAGTTGTAGTTCTGTATTTACTTTTGCTTTTTCTTTTGTTCAGATGCTCATTATCCACGACATCGTCTGCCCAGTCCACAACCGGCTTGCTTTTCTCGACAGTTTTCTTGTCTGGAGTCTTTTGTTGTTCGACATCTGATTCTGGATTGGAGCGCAAGGTTATGACTCTAGTGACTGTTGTGGTTTGGCTCATTCGAAAAATCGTACCGAAAAAAGACCCGCTATTTACCAGCCATATCTCGCTTCTGCTGGGAAACCAACTGTCGAATGGTCTCCGCCGCTTCTGAAAAGGGATGTAGTGTGTGTTGGACACAAGTGTGTGTGTGTGTGTTCGAACACAAGTGTGTGCGCGTGTTCGAACACAAGTGTGTGCGCGTGTTCGAACACAAGTGTGTGTGTGAAGTGTGTGTGTCATACCGTAGCCAAAGCCGGATTGTATCCAAAGAGGGTTTAGAGTATGTGTGTTGAATTGTTTGACCAGGTCGCGGAGACTGCACATCTCACGTTTGTCAAGTTTGCTTGAGTCTGTTGTTATGAGTTCTAGCACTTGTTTGAGAACGGGCCAGTTGCAGGTTTTGATGGAGCCGGAGACGAGTGTGCCGTAAGTGCGGGAGCCACAGCCGAAAAGGGCTCGCATTTGGAGTAGGTATTGGAAGGCTTCATGTAGTCTATTATTCCAAGCACAGGCGGCAATGGCGGCAGTATAAACGTAGGCGTCTAGTTTGAATTTTGCCATTGAGGGCAAGGCTTCAACGAGATAGATGACATGATCTACTGCTCGTTTACGTCCATAGAACTTGACAAGGATAGTGAGAGTATAACAAGTTGGTTTTGAGTTAGATTTCATCATCTCACCAAACACCCTTTCAACTGCTTCAGTATCGCCCAATCGTGCGTAACCTTCAATTATAGTATTGTATGTCACACTGTCTCGTACTAGGCCTTTCTTTGGTAACGACTCAAAGAGCTGATAAGCACAACTCATCGCTCCCTGATCACATAAGCCTTTAATGATGGTAGAATATGTCACGATATCAGGTGTGCTCTGTGTTTGATCCATCTCATCGAGCAAACTTAAGGCGGTTTTCAAATCACCGTTTTGGACGCAACTATGAATGAGTGCGTTATATGCCATCTCAGTTGGACACAGATCATGCTCCTTCATGAACTTGAAGTAGTATAACGCTTCCGTCTGTTTTTGATGGGTAACAAATGTTCGAATAATAGCCGAGTATTGATTTGCCGTTAAAGGTTTAGCCAACCTCTTGGATTTTTCTGCTAACAACAATACCATTGTGACGTCCTTGAGAGACGCAAAGGCCTCCGCGCATACACCAACCACGTATGGGCTCCACTTTATGTCAGGTGTAGCCTCCAACTGCTTCCACAGCTGCATAACCTTCGATGCCTTATTGCACTTGCCATACCCCGCCATCAACGTAGCAATCTCATGAGGGCTTGGGTTCTGTAATTTAGCCGATACTGAATCCAAAAACCGACGCAATCGAGGCGCGTCTTTTTTAGAATACATCTCAACCACCGACCCCAACAAGTTAACGTCTTCAAAGTTATCATTTTGTTCAATGAAGTCGCAAAACGCGCTAATCATACCACGATCAACAACAGCCGTTCCTTTCGCTCCCAATTGACGTGCAACCAAACCGCAAGTGAACGCATCTACCTTGATGTTCCTACTGCACATCATGCTAAACATTTCCCATGTTCGATTCAAATCGTCAGCAGCAACGGCCGCATTAATGGCAGCATGAAAAGTAACTTGATCGGGTTTGACACCATCGCCACCAAGATGAAAGGGTTTTTCCATGTGCAGAATAAACCTTTTTATTTCTTCAAGTCTTGGAGGCTTTTCGCGCGCCATTCCCTTAATAATGATATTGCACGTCACCACATCAGGTCGGACACAACTGCCCGGAATGAAGTCAATGCCGTTGATCTCACAGTGTGCGTCCGTACGCAATGTTTCCAATATTGTTTCTGCTCGGTCCAATTGACCACTAGTTACACACAAGTGCAAGATCTTGTTACCCACTGATATGTCTAATAGACCGCCTTGGCTGTTACGTAGCGTATAAAAGTAATCCACAGCACCATGGACATCCTCCGCAGCCGCTAATCGTTTAACAGCCGCAAGTGATTCCTTCAGCCTTTCATCCTTATTTGACTGCAACGAACTTGGTCGGTATAGCTTACCGTCTGACTTAAGTTGCTTCATCGTCTCTGCCAATACACCTACTTCGGATCGGAACTCATCTTCTTCACCAAACTGTGGGTGCTTCATCAAAATACGTTTCGCACGCACCCAATCCTCAGCTGCAAGGTAAAGTCGTAAACTCTTACGAGCTAACATAAGTTTTTCACCTGCCTTAAGCCCCTTGAAACGTCCGATTGTATCAGCCAGTAAAACAAACCGACTGATGACAGCACGGTCTAATACAGCACCGAGGTAATGCGAGAAGTCTGGTATCTTACCACCACCTGGTAATTGCAAGCGTGATGCTCCTCCGAGTTTGCTAACTAGATGTAGTGCTCGAGGATTGCCGCATTCTGCATACAATGGTATGAAAAGAGCCAATAGTAAACTGTTAAGGTGAGGAGCTATAGTACGTTGACCTGGCCTCACATTATGTAAGTCACGACTTGCAGCAACGTTCAATTCGAGATTTAATAATTTCCATCCAACCAGTTGCGTAGGTGAACACCGACAAGAATCCTGTAATGCACGTCCTGCTAACCAAGCCGGTAATTGTGCGGCAACATGTTCTGGTAATAAGGTTGGATATGTTTCAGTCGCAATTCCAGAACCACACTCTAAACCCGGCGGCTTACGATACTGCCCTGGACCCTTGGCACCGTAAGGCATTAAAAGCATTAGATGAACATTATTGTCAACGTTCAATGCTTGTTGGAATCTTCGCTTCGGACCCGCTAGCCCCGTAAAGGCTGATGGCATCCCATACAACATGTCGTAATTCTCTAGTAAACGCATGTAACATAAATCGATCCTTCCTAATGTGCAACCAGTATGTTCTCCAATCGTTCGCTTTACTATTTGTAAATGACTCTCCCGACTACCTGAATTTACAGCCTCCTCAAATGGATTAGACTGGGTCACAAAGAACCTCTCCACTAAACGACCCATCAATTCCTGTACTTGGAACGCATGACGACCACTCCGTTCATATTGATGAATCATACGGCACACACGGACAAAACTTTCATTCTGCCACCACGTTAACGGACAATTGACCTTCTTCGACGGACCCAATGATCGACTATCACGGGACGTAGAAGAACTACAACCTCCCGCCTGCACTTCGCCCGACTCGGATGTTGCACCAAGCGCTGCAAGAACCGTCTCCATCTTGGGATACCGGCTTGAACGGCTCGGCTCATTACGGTCATCCGGCTCGTTACGATCATCCGGCTCGTTACGATCATCCGGCTCATTACGGTCATCCGGCTCATTACGGTCATGGTCATAGTTGGTCGCGTTTGTGGAGTCGCTAGTATGTTCTGGCGCCGCCGTGCTGTCTTCGTCACTCCTCGATCCGTGTTGGTGGTCATCGTGGTGAGTATCACCACACTCATCGTTCTGTCGGTTATCGAACTCCGTGAAAACCGGAAGAGCAAAAGGCACAGCCATACTATAGGATACCATAGCCTCTTTGCCTGCCTTACTCTGCTCAACCACCCCCTCCAGGAAACAGTTTCCTCGTCTTACCATAAAATGCCTATACCGGAGGAATGCCGGGCATGGATTACCCGGTATGCCCCCTTCCGTCCAGAACAGCTCTGGCTTAACGACGCGGTAGTGAGCAATATTTTCACCAATAATATAGTTGCACACGTCCATGTAGGCTTTCGCAATGGAGGGTTCGGACATGAATATATAAGCCGGTACAGCATCAGTAACAACGTGTTGGACTTTATAATCGTTCTCGATAATCAAATTGTTCTCTAACTCGAGCGAACGGATTTGTGTGCTAAGTATTCGTTTGACTTGTTGTGGTTCATAGTTCTCAATAGGACTAGGGAACAGCAGGAACCTGTAATGCCAGCCTCGAGCTATAAATACCTCATCAGAGAATGGTTTGGCCAATCCGAGAGGGAGAACAGACAAGAAAATCGTCTCCATGTCGATTGGGATATCGAAGCTTTTCCTCAAGTCCTCGCTACGTTGGCTATGTGCCAGTTGTGTTAGGAATACAGATACAGCAAATGCAGGTACTCTTAAGTTCTCGATCATGGTCGATTGCACACCAAGCACATCGCCAGCTTCTGGCAAACAGCCGAGTACATCCTCGGCAGGTATGCGTTCGACTAGCGGTTGCAAGAACGGGCGACCGTACTCCGTGGCTGACAGCAACAGTAGAAACGCCAAATACCGCTTCTCTCTAACCAGCATCAAGCAGAATGTTTCGTAAATCAATTGCAACACATTCGTGCTAAAAGTCCAACGTGCCAGAAACGAACAAAAACAGTCATTACTGCTTTGATGCTTCATACGCAAGAATATCACTGCAACACCCTCAAGCATGTAAGGATGATAACCAAGACAGAAAATAGTAGACGCCGCCAAATGCTTCAAACGAAGTTGTTCTGACGGATGCAAATCAAGCTTCGACGCTAAACACATTAACAACAACGTTTGGAGATCACATAGTAATTGCCGTACTTCCTTCGCAGCATACGAAGCCTTACATACCGTATCCTGCTCGTCAACACGCGGCACATGCGGAGGACCCACTTCTTTAACTGAGAGCCGGTTGAAGCAGCTGGCACATAAATTTGCAAAATCAGAGTAACTCAAAACCTCAGATGGTGTCACAAACATGTTCGGACACGATGAATCATCACCCATTGCAGTCACCGGATACTCCAGACTCGGCTCGCGAGGACCCTCCTCGGTATCACTCAAATCCGCATCCGATGAGTCAGAGAACGATGAACCCACTTCCACCGCCGTGACTGTCGCCGTCGCGGAACACGGCGTCGAGGACACTACCGAGGAATCACTCTTGTCTCCAGCTCCCTTGTGTCCGTCTCCGTCCTTCCCCGTGCCGTCTTTCACCGCGCCGTCTTTCACCGCGCCATCTTTCACCGCGCCGTCCTTACCGAGACCGGGACCCTCCTTGAGGCCGGGGTCATCTTTGCCGGTACCGACGCTTTTGACCGCACAGCGCTGTTCGTCCGTGCACATACAGAAGGTGAGGGTCTGACGGAGTGCGCTGTCCCAATCGCCTTTGGCGACATTAGCAGCGAGCTGCCTCATAAGTCTGCGAACATAGCGTGTGCCTCGGCAACCCGTTAGTGTCAGTCGCTTGCGGCATGCGAGCGAGGCTGGGGGTACAGAGTGAACCGGCGCGGCTACATTCCCAGCCGCGTCATCACGACGATCTTTCTTACGGTCCCGACCGCTGGCAAGGGTGCCGCTGCCAAGTGCGAGGGGCGCACTGGCCTCGGCCTCGGACCCGTGGGCGGCGAGCTGGGGATGCGCGACAGGGGTGTGATTCGCTGTCGCACCTGTGTGAGATGAAGGCGTATGAGATGAAGACCAAGGCGTAGGTGTGTGTGTGACAGGTGTCAGTACCCCCTTGCCACCCACAACTGGGCTGGCCGCGAAATTGTTGGCCGCTAAGTTGTAGGTCGCCAAGTTGTTGGCTGGGGAATTGGTGGCCAGGGCGATGGCGGAGGACGCAGACATGCCGAATGCCGAGCTGGCGAGGCTCGACTGGCATAGGGGGGAGCCGGGGCTGGCGGTGGAAGCCCGTTCGCTGTCGGACTCGGCGGCCTCGGAAGCGACTTCGCTGCGCATTTTGTTGAACCAATGGCGGCACTCGGGGTGCTGGATTTGGCTGGCCTCCAACTTCAACTCGGTAGGCGCGTCAGACAACAGGGTGGACAAGTCGTCCAGCGAAGACACAGTGTGGGCATCCACACGCTGTGGAAACATCTCGCCCCGTGGCGGACCCTGCTGGGCGCCGGAACCTGGGGTTATGAACCTGATGCTCGGCGGGCTGGGCGGTTGACGAACCGCCCCAAACGGACCGCCGCCGCGGGACATATTCGTATGTGCCGTGCCTGGGTGGGTCGTGCCTGGGTTGGTCGTGCCTGGGTTGGTCGTGCGTGGGTGGGTCATGCCCGGGTGGGTCATGCCCGGGTGGGTCATGCCCGGGTGGGTTAAAGCCGAATGAGGCATGCCTGAGTGGTTAAGGCCGGGGTGGGTTAAGGGCGAGTGGGTTGGAGGCCCGTAGTTGGGCGGGGCGTTGCTGCCTTCTAGCAGACAGTGTAGCTGGTTTGCCAGTTCGTCCACTTCGTCGTACTTGTAGAAACCTTTCGATGTATTCCAGTTCTGACTGGTCTTCCAAGGCTCGGTCCTTGCGCTGTCGTTCCTATCGGCGTCGGTCCTTGCGCTGTCGTTCCTATCGGCGTCGTACCAGCCCCTGGCGGGGGTAGTGTACGCATGTGCAGTTCCGCTGGTTGTCCGTGGAGGGAAGCCTGCGGGAAAGTCACCTCTTGTCAAGTGGTCAGTTCCTCTAAGGTGGTCATTCCCTCTGAGGTGGTCACCGCCACTGAGGTGGTCATGACCTCTGAGGTGGTCACCCCCTCTAAGGGGCTCGCTCCGCAGATGGTCGCCGCGGCCCGAAGTGCTGCCAGAGGGCCCAGAGGGGCCTCCTGTGTAGACATTGGGACCGGGGCTAGCAAAGGAGGCTCCGGAGTCAGGGACATTGAACGAGCCGCCTGAGACGTAACCGCGGTCTGCACAACCACGGTCCGCCCGAGTACACGGCCCGCCTTGATCCTGCCAGGAGGTCGCCGACGTCTTCCTCCAATTATCCAGCTGAGACCAACCCGCCGAAAAAGCATCGTCGGCGCCGCACAGACTCGCAATTGCTTCACGTAAAGCGGCTTCCGAAGAGTCTTCGAGATCGTGGGCTTCACCGCCTGTCACAAGGGCTTTTGACAGCTCCCATGTGTCGGTTCGCGGCGTAGTCATTATTAATAAATCGCCTCTAGAAATTTTATGACTGCCGGACCCACCTCTCTTGGCGGAGGCCTCGAAAATGGCCCATGGAAAGCAACCCCAGACATCTGGGTAGCACGCTTCGAAAATATACCACTCGCCCACGGACGTCTCCCCGCTGCCCGTCTAGTCGCTGGAAATGCAGTTGCTGGAAATGCAATCCCCCCGGGAAATAATCGTTCCGCTGGACCGCCGACTCCACCAGTCCACGGTAACGTCATGGCAACAACCGTGGCGACGGCCGTGGCCACTGCGAGTATAGGTGCAGTTAAACAACCAACTGGAAACGCGCTCAGTCAGCCCACTGCCGATCCTCAAACGATGACCGACGGTCAACCCATCACGGCCGGTCAACCCATGACGGCCGGTCAACCCATGACGGCCGGTCAACCCGTGATGCAGGCATCCGTTCCTTCGATCAACCACCCACTCGGTGCACTCGTCGATAAAGTCGTTTCTAGACCGGTCGTGGTACCGGGAACTAACCCGCTTTTGTTCAATATCATATATGAGGCCATGACCTCGGTGGACGTGGACACTGAAATCATTGAAACGCTTACCGGGAAAAGGCCCCGCAAGCGAGTCGCCGGACAGCCTGGCGGTCCATCGCCTGATAGCGTATACACGAAAGTCAGACCCGGCCCCTTTTCGATCCTGGCGCCTGATGGTGGTTCATCATCCAGAGAAATAGTAGGTGACAAAATCAACAACGAAATTTCCGAAGGTCGTCATCACTCGAACGAAAGTCGCGGCGAAGGTCGTCACTCCGGCGAAGGTCGTCGTGACTCGAACGAAGGTCGCCGCTCAGCCGCTTTGATACGGTCAGAGTCAGAATCCGCACTTTCCCAACGAGAGAGGTCCAAAGGAGAAAAAAGGTCATATGGAGCAGCTGTTACCGTTGACGGTTGTTGCCGGCATTGCGGAACCGAGGAGACGCCCCAATGGCGCTACGTCCATCGCGAGAAGTTTTGCAACGCATGCTACATGCGAATAAAGCGTTGGGTGCATTCGAACTTAAATGGTCGGAGACTCCCTTCCAGAGCTCGCTCGGATGTAGACCCCGAAGATGACGCCAAGTTCTCCCAACAAGCCCAAGAAATCGTTACCATCGCGCTTCGTAGTCTTTCGAATGCTTGACATCCGTTGCAACCATTTTTCCAACCCCTTCGCATCCCTCAACAGATCCATCCGCCGCTCATCCGTTCCACCGCTCATCCGTCCATCGCCCGTTCGTCTAACCGTCCATCGCTCGTTCGTCTAACTATGACAAACCGTCTATTGGGACGACCATTGGGTCAGCCCTTGGGTCGATCATTGTGTCGATGATTGAATCGACCACTCGAGTCGACTGCTTGCTTGCTTTCTCCACCGCTTGCTGTCTCGGCTACTGTCTTGGCTTTATGGCCCGGATGGTTCGAGGTGGTCTTGCGTTCTTGAAGTGCTTGGTTGTCCGCTGGATACCTGTAGTCTGCTCCAGCCACTCCACCGGATCTTCGTAATCGGTAGCACGCCATACCTCGGCGGCCATGGGAGTAGGCTTTTGTAAGTGTCTTTGGAATCGACGAAACGCCGCGGCACTCATACACCAACTGAGCTCACTTTTAGTGTAGGGCAATTCGACAGCACTTAGGCTATTGCCCTCCCTAGACTCCTCCCTTTCACCAGACTCGTTCCGATCTCCCGATTCCTTCCTTTCTCTCGACTCTCTTCCAGATTCCCTGTTGACGCCATCCCCGTGAGGAGGACAAAGCGACTCCCCGTCCTGGCCAACCGGCTTGGTACCCTCATCATCCGGACCTCCATAGCGAATGCTCGGAATGTTATCTGAGGTCTTCCTCTCTGATACTCTCCGTACCAAGCTCTTCCGTTCCGAGTTCTTCTTCTCTGAACTCTTCCTTTCCGCACTCTTCAGCTCCCCATCCATTCGCGTGTCACACACCTTCTGGTCACACACCTTCTGATCAGCCGGACTCCCTTGGTCCATCGGCACAGTCCTCGAAGATTCGGTTCTGGCGGTAGTAGGCATTTCATTCCGACCCGACAGAACTTCGTACTTGGGGTCTAGAAAAGACCTTGCCCCCTCACCAGCACCATGCACTAAAGCGGGGTGACCCGCGGCCGCAGGCCTCACGGGCTGCCTACTTTCATCCCCTGGCTCGTAGGGCTTTTGCAACGGCGGCGGCGGCGGGGGTGGAGGAATATGCCGGTGCTCGGCCCCCCTTGGTTCCATACCCCCCCTTGGTTCCATACCCCCTCGTGGTTCCACACCACCTCGTGGTTCCACACCACCTCGTGGTTCCACACCACCTCGTGGTTCCACACCACCTCGTGGTTCCACACCACCTCGTGGTTCCATACCACCTCGTGGTTCGATGCTTCCTCGAGTGCCGATTTGTGGTTGAGACATGAAGACCTGGGTGACTGAATTTCTGGGAGCCACTTGGTTTTTTTTCTTGTCTTCCGTTAGTTGGTTTGGCAGGCCGTTGGGTAGGAGGGATCTATAGCTGCCATGCTTCTTGACCATGGCCCGAAGTTGTTCGTACATCTTCCGGCAGTCGAGAGCTTCGGAAGCGGTCATAGCGGAACTCATGGACCGGATAGGTGCGTATAGATAGTCGTATAGAGTCTCCTTCACAGGTTGATGCAGTCGTCCCGTTGGCGCCACGAACACGTTCAGCATCCCCGCCGCAGCCGCCTCCGGATCTCTCAGAGTATTCAACTCCGACAAATGGCTCAAGGCCACCAGAACTGACTTGGTCACCAACGTCTGGCATCGATACGGCGGCCCAATCGTTCGCATCTTCTCCATCGGGTCTCGTAAACACAAGAAGTGACGGCCACGATATTGGAACGTTCCATTGCCACGTCCCGCCACTTCACGAGCACCAGACTCTCCAGCACTGTCTTCGCCACCCAGCTCAAATAAGCTGGTCCGGAAAAACTCCTTCTTGCTCAACGGTAATAAAGGAGCTCTTGACGTATCAATGATCTAGAAGATATGATTTGTCGGTAGCGGGGGGGGGGGGGGAACT